GTAATTCTTTTCGATGCCGAGGTGTAGTCCCCACTGTGCACGTTGTGAAAATCTTCCCGCTCGTGCTTCTGGGGGTCGGTATTGTACCATGCACCCGAAAACTCGTAACATTTTTGTGCTGCCCTGCTTCCCTGTCCACAGCAGATGCGGTGATGCGTTGTTCGGGAGTGAGGACGACGACATCAAGTTGTGCAGCATGACAGCATGGTCCATTGCTGCAGGCCACTGGTGGTTGGGTAGCCGCATGCCACGTAGCAGTTTGCGCATGCTGTTCTGCAGAGTCCTGTTCACTCTTTCTGCGACACCTTGCTGCTGATGGGCGTAGGGAAGGGAGAGAAGCTGCTTGATTCCTCTTTCCGCCAGGTACTGCTTGAATCGCTGAGAGGTGTATTCTCCTCCTCCGTCTGACTGTAAGCTTTTCAGCTGTGTTCCCGACTCTCTTTCTGCTACTGGTAGCCAGGCGGCGAACGCTGCGAGTGCCATGTCGCGGCTGGGTAGGTTTAGGTGCCAGACGTATCGAGTGGCGGCGTCGATGAAGGTTATTGTGTAGTTGTAAGTAACTTGTCCTGGTTCTCGATTGAAGAGGATATCGCTGTACACCTTCTCGACTGGTGCGTACGCGGGTGCGCTCGGGTTGTGGTGAGGAGTAAACGGTCGATGTGGTAAGTCGGCTTCGGGGCAGGTGAGGCAAGTTCCTCGTGCCCGTTGAAGTTCTCTGCCGTCGGGTAGTAGTAATGAATCCTTGTCTAGGACTCCTGCTCTTATTGTATTATTTAACACGGTGTTGCTTGGATGTCCCATGCGTGCGTGCCAGATGTCTTCGGAGGCGCGATGTCCGGGTGAGCGTCGATACGCGTCGGAGTTGGAGTAGAAGCTGGCGACGAAGTTCGCGCTTCTGTGGACTTCTCGTTGAGTTGGGTTCAGCTGCTGTGCGGGTGTTGGTGGTGCTTCGTCGACGAGGACTGGTGTCGTTGGTCCTGCTGCTGCCGATGATGTTTCTGCTGCCGGTGTTGTCTCTTCTGCTGCCGGTGTTGTTTCTGCTGCTGCCGATGTTGTCTCTGCTGCTGCCGATGTTGTCTCTGCTGCTGCCGATGTTGTCTCTGCTGCTGTCGAATGTTGAATTGTTGCTAACGCGCGTGTTCGTTCTGCTTCAGGGATGGTATGTGAATACCAGAAGCCCTCCGGGCTGAAGTCGGGGTCGAGATCCGGGGGATGTGTCCACTCGCCGAAGTTAACGATGGCGTCGGTGTCTGCAGTGCCCAGGTCTGGGACGAAGTCAAGGACGAAGACGTTGTTCTTCAGAACCGCCTTTCCGATGTAGAGGCCGCCCTTCCCGTGGTATAACTTGAACTCCTGGGTGGTACTGTCGGCTTCCAAGTGAATGCCTTTCGCCATCAAGTGGCTGACGCTCAGTAAGTTGTAGCCGAGTCCCTCCGCGATTAGCACTTTTGACATATGCAGTATAACATTTCTCTCTCGTGACTGAAGTTGTACTACTCCTTGTCGTCGTGTGCGCAGATTCTGGTTGTTGGCGACTGTGATGACGACCTCTCGTTGAAGTCGGTGTTCGCGTTGAACGAAACGTCCTGAGGAGCACATGTGTAGTCCGCAGCAACTGTCCAAGAACCAAGTGTCTTTTCCGGACGGTTCGCTTTGAGCGATGGCAGCGTACGTCGGGTTCGGTTGAAGTGACTCGCGGCGAGGCGTGCTGTTGTCGAGTTGTTCTTCTGGTGAGTAGTATGGTGGTGACTCGGTTGTGCAGGAGTCTGTTATTTTCACCATACAGTTGAGGATGTTTCTTGCTCCTTGTGCAGGTTGTCCTGTTGGAGTCGTTGAAGCTTGGACTGAAGTTGTCGGGTTTGCTTGCGTTGAAGTGACTTGGGAGCTTGAAGGCCGAGGTTGTCGCTGTGGTGTTGTCGATTGCTGACGAAACGGGCAGTGCGTACGAGGATGCCCTGAAGTCTTGCAGATGTGGCAGAACGGAGGTACTGGCTTCACTTGCTGTTGTTGCCGGTTGTTGTTGTTGTTGTAGCATCGCTGAGTGTGAAATGCAAACTCTGGTACTGACGTTTTCTTCTTGTGTCCTTCTTCTTGCAGGTCCATGTCCTGCTGCTCAGCATGGATTTCGGCGCAGAGTGCTGCTTCGAAGATTCTCCCGTGTGCTCGTAGTATGGCGCGAGTGGAGCGCCAGTGAGGGCCAAGGCCGCCAATGACGACCGTGACGAAGGCGTCTTCTGAAATCGATCCTCCACATCGAAGAAGCTTGTCGCGTAGTTCGCGGCAGCGACTGATATATGCCATGCCCTTCTCGCCTGGTTTCATTTCGATTGTTGTCAGCTGCGCCATTAACCGGCTTTGGTTTACACTGTCTGTTGCTTGATACAGGTTCTTCAAGTGGTTGTACGCGAGCTCCGCGGAGTTACCGTAACCTCGGTAATGTTCTGTTGTTGAGTCGGGGTGATGTTCCTCAGTAGTATTGTGTACGCCATCATCGATTGATAGGTGTACTGCTGCTTCTCATACTGCGTGCCGTTTGTTGGATATGGCAGGGACCCGTCGAAGAAGCCAAGGATCTGTGCTCCTTCCATCATCAGCTCGAATTCGAACGACCAGGTAAAGAAATCCTTCCCGTCGAAAGGTTTTGTCGTTTGTAGTTTTAGAACATGCGCGAATTGCGACTGAACTTGTAGTGCGTCCAGTGCTCTTTCTTGTCCCGGTGCAGGTTGTGGTTGCGGCACGAAGCTGACGGATCCGCGCTGGGGCTCGTACGGAGCGAAGGTAGGTTGTTGTTGCTGTTGATTCCCGCGTGCGTAGGATGAGCCATCGAGACTCATGGGCGTCACGTTGTTGTTGTTGCTGTTGTTTGATTGCGCAGGTGCTCCTTGCTGATGCTGCTCGTAGAAGGACATGAAGGAGAAGAATTTCTCCATCATACTTGGATCGAAGCCCGCGGGTGTTTCCATAGACCCAGCTGCTGGTCTCGTTGTTGTCCCTTCCTCTGTCTGTAGGCCAGAGGCAGGAGGTGGAGTAGGGGTAGTACTGGGAGAGCCGTTGGAGGTGTTGGGCTGAGGTGCCCTAGGATCTTTGTAGAGTTAAAGTCTGAGTAGGATGATGTAGTAGCGGAAGCGTTGAATAAAAGGTCTTTGAACCACCTTGCGCTGGTATGTGAGGGCAAAGTAAGTTGTTTAAAACAAGCAAATACAAAGCTTTATATAAGAGTACAAGGGATACGAATAGATAAAATTAAACTGTTTTGCTGTTGCGATTCGATACAGTGCGACTCGGGCAACTGCTCAATGTCGAGTCAGTTGTGTGTCCTTGCTGTCGCGCTGTATTTGTCAAGTCAAAGGTCGCTGACCTTTGACCTTCTCGTAACCTCCAGCGGTTACCCTAACCTCCGAGGGTTGACTCGTTGTGCTTCGATTCGAGCTGCTTCGCTTGTGTCCTGAGTTTCGACACGACAGAGGCGCTTAAGACTTGTTATTCCCAACAGGAGGAGCTCCTCTCCTTTCTAGCAGACATGTCTTCTTGATGTATTGAGTGTTGAGAAAAGAGTAACTTTTAACTCTAACTCGCTCTCATACCATGTTGGGCTGAGACGCCCTAGGATCTTTGTAGAGTTAAAGTCTGAGTAAAATGATGTAATAGCGGAAGCGTTTGAATAAAGTCCTTGAACCACCTTGCGCTAGTATGTGAGGGCAAAGTAAGTTGATTAAAGCAAAGAGATACAGGAATATATATATGAGTACAGAGAATATGAAGAGACATAATTGTAACTGTTTTACTGTTGCGGTTCGATACAGTGCGACTCGGGCAACTGCTCAATGTCGAGTCAGTTGTGTGTCCTTGCTGTCGCGCTGCGTCAGGTCAAAGGTCGCTGACCTTTGACTTTCTCGTAACCTCCAGCGGTTACGTTAACCTCCAAGGGTTGACTCGCGGTGCTTCGATTTGAGCTGCTTCGCTTGTGTCTTGAGTTTCGACACGACAGAGGCGCTTAAGACTATTTGTTCCCAACACATGCTAAGATGCACGCTGTTCAAGTGGACATCGCAGGACAGCCAATGCCAGGGTGAGTTGTAGGAATGTTGAATGAACCGCTCGAAATAGGGAAACGTGGATGGAGAGGAATGAACTTAAACCCACAAATTTGTAGTTGGAGAAGGGCGTTCAGCTTGCTTCGACAATTCATAATTACCGTCACCCCCCGGATATAAGCGCCACCCTAGGATAAGCGCCTGGCGCTTCTAATTGGCATATGGCGCTTATATCCCCTCCTCGATTATAAGCGCACCCCCTGAAAAAACAAGTTTTATTATAAGCGCACGTAAACTTTAATATTTGAAATGTGTACAAAACGTTGTAACGATTTTTACTTTAGCAGGCAGATATGTTGCAGATTCGGTTCCCTTCACATTCGGACCCTGCACTGGATGCGGGTCCAGTCAGCAAGAGCTGTCAGGAGCTGGATGTGAGTCAGATTGGGTGTGTCTCCCAGCGTACGCGAGAATTTCACAGACGACCCCATGTAACTTCGACTCGATTGAAAGGGCAAGCACGAGACCTACAGTTTGGTGTTTAAAAATATAAAAAAATATAGATGTCATTTTATAAACGCCGGCGCTTATAAATTTACTCGATTATAAGCCCACCCCCCTGAAAAAACCTGTTTTATTATTGCCCCCCATGGGGGTATATCCGGGGGGTGACGGTATGAACACAATGTGTGTTACCGTAATAAAATATAATTTTAATGGCAATCAGGTCCCTTAAATGCGACCACGGTACGGTAGCAGGTTAGAGCGGGCCATCTTATGGAGTCCGCTGGTAGCCACCCCGTGAGGAGTTGCGGGTACCAACTTCATATCAAGATGGCGGCCCGGTGCCGCGCGTGGGCCACATCCAAGGGACCCACTTGTCTGCTCACCCACCCACTGCCGCAGGCATGGCATGGCATGGAACGCCATGGCATGCGTGGCAGGAGGCAGGAGAGGAGGGGACGCCTACTCAGGCTGCGCATCATCCAGCAGCGGCTCCAGCGGGGCCTCTAGCTCCTCTGGGGACGGTAGGCGCTCAAGCTGCAGAGCGGTGGAGAGAGGGAGGAAGGAAGTGCTTTATTTGTGCTGCATCAGTCCAATCCAAGAGCACACAACAGCTAATGGCAAGTGCTGTGTGGCGCACAAGTGTGGTAAAATGAGTGTGCATGGCAGCATGAGTCACCCTTGTGGTGAACATGCAGGGCGTATGGTGCACATGTAGGGCGAATGAAGCATGCACAGGGGGTGAATGCAAGGAACTCCTCTAACTGGTCAACGTACATGCATGCGGCAGTGAGCATGCATGGGGCAGTGAGCATGCATGGGGCAGTGAGCATGCATGGGGCAGTGAGCATGCATGGGGCAGTGAGCATGCATGGGGCAGTGAGCATGCATGGGGCAGTGAGCATGGGTCACCTGCAGGCGGGAGAAGAGCAGGGAGTGGCCAAAGGAGACCTCGAACGACCCAGGCCTGCAGCAACGCACATGCATGAGGGGGAAGACACGTTACGTCATGTGCCATGTGCCATGTGCAGCGCATGCTGCATGCCATGCCACCCATTGGTGATGCGCGCCCATGGCTGAAGCACCTCCAAAGGCAGTGGGGACGTTGTTGCTGTTGCACAGCCCACCTGCTCGCATGGCACAGCCCACCTGCTCGCATGGCACAGCCCACCTGCTCGCATGGCACAGCCCACCTGCTCGCATGGCACAGCCCTGTGCCTTGGCAACAATGACCTCTGCCTCCCACTGTCCCATCCCCCCCCCCCCCCGCGCCCCATGCCCCCCCCCGCGCCCCATGCCCCCCCCTGCGCCCCATGCCCCCCCCTGCGCCCCATGTCCCCCCTGCGCCCCATGGTCCCCTCTCCGCCCCATGGCCCCCCAGCGCACCTGGCCTGGGAGCCCTCGGGATTGCCGGTGACCATGATGGCGGGGAAGCGCTCCTCTGCACTCACAACACGGCCACAGCGGGTGAGAGGAAACAACAAGGGCGAAAAAAGGAGGGTGAGGTGAGAAGGTAACCTTGGCAAGGCGGGGAAGGTGAAGGAGGGCTGGGTTCAGCGGAATTGAGAGTTGAGAGGTAGCGTGTGACGTGACGGCAGGCAATGGCGTGTGGCAGCACAGCACAGCACAGCACGCACCCAAGTAGTCAGCGACGGCGATGAATCGGTCACGCGCATCCGTGTCATCGTCGTCATACTCCACCACCACCTGCCCAACCCACATACACGCACGCACACACACAAGCGCGAATGCACGGGTTAGTGCTCCAGCGCTCAGCGGCCTCACCGGCGCACATGCACATCTCAAGTTCATCCGTGTCATCGTCGTCGTACTCCACCACCACCTGCCATGGCCGCGCATGCAAACACAGTTGCGCATGCACATGCACGCACACACACAAGCGCGGTGCCTAGGCACAAGTGCGGTTAGTGCTCCAGCTCTCCACCGCTCAACGGCCTCTCCAGCGCGCATGCACGACTCGAGTGCATCTGGAGACCTATGCCACGGCAGCACCGCGGGCCACGCGCGCCCCGCCGCCCATCCCAGCTCTGCGCGCGCGCCTATGCCCGCTCCCCCCGCGTGCGCGCGTGCGCGCGCCATACCTATGCCGGCTGATCAAGCGCTCATGCCTGCCGACGCAATACGCCATTCGCATCCCCAACCTTCCCCCTCCCCCTCCCCCACACCCGCCTAAGATTCTGCCCGCCCCAGCCACGCGCACCTCAGGCGGGGGCGGCGCGGACAACCCCGAGCGTCACGCCATGTGGCGCACGGCGCCGAGCCCCGCTCTTCGCGCGGGGAAGCCCTGCAGCGCGCGCGCCGATACTGCCTGCGGTAGCGCCCAAGCTGAGGAGGCGGGGTAGGGAGGGGAAAGGGGGAGGGAGGGGGAGGGAGGGGGGGTTGGGGGGGTGGGGGGGAGGGGGGGGAGACGGACACGTGCGCGAGAAAGGAAAAGGTTGCGAGATGAGAGCGGATGACAAGAGGGCGGGGCGGTAGAACACGCGCTCCGTGATGATCGAAAGCAGCACGTGCAGTGCGGCGGTTGGTGCCAGGCACCAACCGCGCTCTGACATGCGCCGGTGCTTGCCAGCAGCATGCGTGAAGCGAGGCTACTGGGAGGGCGAGGGAACTGACACGGGCGGGTGGGAAAGCACGGTGGAGCGACGAATGCAGGAGCGGTGAGACCGCGCGCGAGCTGCGAGAGGGAGGCGTGTTGAGGGACGACGGGCAGCGCGGCGAGGGTCAGCGGAGGTGGCGGCGCGCGGAGATTGGAATGGAGAGCGCATGCTAGCAGACGGCGTAGCGCCCTGCGGGACGCCATGGTGGCACGCAGGAACCTACGGTAATTGTGTACGTTCACCAAGAGAACGTGCTGCAGTGGGTGGCGGTTGGGTTGGTTTGGGCACAACTTCCATCCTTGAAGGAGCTGGACAGGAATGGAAGCCCTCATGGAGAGGCCTGTCGAAGTTCCTGGGGCCCATACAGATGTTCTCAATTAGGGCGCGTGTGGTCTTACAAATTTGTGAAAGTTTATGTTTTTAGGTCGAATGTAGCATTTGAACAAAACTCGACTTTCTTTCCAGCGAAGTTCGAATCTTGGGTCTCCAACACAGACGAGTCACAATCACACACCCTAGGTCGAACACAGAGATTCGACCTTTTAGGGATGGCGGCGAGCCGCCCGTAGGGGAGTAGGTTACCTGGTCCAGCGCGACACGTTAAAGCCCGTAGGCAAAATTGTGACCCCCCCCCTTCTAGTTGGGCCCACTTGATATTCTGATTCAGAGTTTACTTTTGTATGGTGTAATGAGTTGCAGATTTTCGTTTTTCCCTGATACTGAACCATCTTTCTATGTCTGGCCAAGGAAACTTGTCGCAGGGTTCAAATGTGTCGCAAGGAGTGCCAAATTCACATTCGAGCCAAATTCACATTCCCATTTCTGCACCGACGAAAATCCAAGTGCAGATACAAACACGAGTGGCATTTCAGCGCCTGAGCCTTCTGCAAAAAGCGAGAGCAGTAGGAATGTGTTTTGCGGAATGGGTTTGGGGTGTGAAGTATGCGGAGAAACACAAAAAGGAGGAGGTAAACAAAGAGAGTCAGGGAGAAGGAAACAAAGATGCGAGGAGAGATATTCAGGGGACAAACGTGGTGGGTTCGGTGATGCGAGGGGCATTGGGGAGGGGAGAGCACGAGGGCGACGGGACGGGACGTGAGGGGCGAGCGCGGTGACGGGACAGGACGGGAGAGCACGAGGGCAACAGGAAGGGACGAGATGAAAGAGTACGAGGGCGACGAGAGGGGACGAGAAGGTGCGAGCGCGAAGGCGACGGGAGACGAGAACGTGAGCGCGAGGGAGATGGGAGGGGAGAATCTGAGTGCGAGGTGATGGGAGGGGAGACCATGCGCGCGAAGGCGATGCGAAGACGGGAGAACGTGAGCGCGATGGCGAGGGGAGGGGAGAACGTGAGTGCGAGGGAGATGGGAGGGGAGAACGTGAGCACGAGGCCGATGGAAGGGTAGGACGTGAGCGATGGCAGATGAATAGGGCGATGGGATGGGAGGAGAGATTGCAAGGGCGACGGGAGGGAGAGGGCGAAGGCGATGAGAAAGGTGATGGGAGGGGAGGGAGGAAGGGCGCGGGGAGGGCGTTTCAGAGCAAGAGCGTACGCAACTGTTAGTGATGGGAGGGGAGAGAAGAAAGGCGACGGGGGGGGGGGGGGGGCATTCCGGGGCGAGCGTGTGGGCGACGAGGTAACTGAACGGAGGGGAGTGAGGAAGGACGGCAAGAAGGCGTTACTACAGGGAAAGCTCGCGGGCAGCGAGGGTGGGTGAACGAACGGGAGAGAGGAAGGGCGGCAAGATGGCATTCGGCGCGAGCGTGCGTGCTTGCGATGAGAAGGGAGCGGAGGGTTCAAATTCCAAAACGTGAGGGCGACGGGAAGGGAGCTGAAAGCGCGAAAGGGTCGTAACGGGCGGGGAAAACGTGATGACGACGGGGCGGGAAGGAGACGCGGAGAGCGTGAGCGCGATCGAGAGGGGCGGAAGAAAGTGAAGTGACTGAGAGGGCGAAGGGAAGAGAGATTGAGAGGGCGACCAGAAGGGATGGGACATGGCGAGGGCGAAGGGGAAGGAGAAGGGGAGGGCGACGGGATGGGAGAGGAGATCGCGAGGGCGATCGCGGCGATTAAAGGCGAGTGAGAGGGCGACGAGGTGGGTGATGCGAATGGTGATAAGGAGGGCGACGAGATGGGTGATGTGAAGAGAGAAAGGGCGTCGGGAGGGCGATTTGAGGCGCGCGCAGAGGCGACGAGGTGGGTGACGCGAAGGGAGAAAGGGCGACGGGAGGGCAATTTGAGGCGCGCATGAGATAGCGACGAGGTGGTTGACGGGAGGAGACGAGATGAAGAGCGACGGCGATTTACAGAGAGCGCGATGAAGAGCATCGAGGTGGCTCGTGGGAGAGAAGAGTGGAAATTGGAAAAATAGTCGGGGCGAGCGCGGGATCGACGAAGTGGGCATTTGGAAGGGTGAGAGGACGTGCAACGGGAGGCCATTTTTGGGCGAGACGAGGAAATACTTACTATGCTCTCAACTATTTTACATCCTAGCTATGCGTAAAAGTAGTAACTAAGGGAGTTGAAATCATCTAGTTATGAACCCAGCACCAGCTTGAAATTGAAGTTGGGCCTGGCGACGGAAACCATCGCCAGGGCACGGACGTGCGGGTGCAGCACGTAGAAATGCGACGGTTGAAATGAGTCAGAAATTTCATTTTGGCGGGAGCAAAAAACATCCAATTTGGCGAGAGCCAATCGCGTGAGAGCATTCTGCCCATACGATTTGTTTGGTCAGACTGGTTTCTTTCTCCCTTCGCAACACCACTTTCAAGTTGGGACGGGGGTCACTATTTTAGCTGCTGGCTTTAACGTAACGCGCAACGAAACTCAACGACCTTCGCAAAGCAGTCGCAATTTTCGGATGGTCTTCGTACGTGCTGAAAACAACACACACTCGCCTCACGTGGACCTGCACGTTCACTCGTGTGATTCGAGTTGAGTTCACATTTGACATTCGAACTTATATGCCCCAAAATTCTCATGCCTTCGCCAAAGCTTCCTGACGACATTAGCGAATCTGGTAACCACACAAAGTTTGACCTTTTTTCCGAACTTGAAAATAGGTCACACGCGCCCTTAGAGTCCACGTGAAAAACACGTGCGCTGCGGGCCTTTGTGGAAAACTCACAAACCCCGGGCAAAAGGGAACTTATAGTCCCATATAAGAATAATTGCATGAAGAGAGATTTTCCTTCGCTGTTTTTCTGTCGCATACGTATATTCGGACTACGCTGTCATCAACTTCTCATCGCACAGGCAGAAAAATACAAAATAAATTATTCTTAAGGCTGAAATGAAAGAAAACATTTACACTGTAAACGAGATTAATGAGATGCCATCGTCGGAGCTCGCGGGGAACCGTGCAACAGGATTTCGACACAAGAGCGGTCAAGATAAACAGACAAACACAACTGCAAAAAGTAAATAGTGAATCAAAACTTCCTTTTGTTTTATTTTCTCTAAATGTTCTGACAGGTTCGATTTGCGTCCTCTGATTGGCTGCGGAACTGATTCGTGCAATGATTTAGTCAAGATGCAAGATTTCCCGCCAAAAATGGGACTGTAGAGGAGGGGATACGCCTAGGACTTATGTGAAAAATCTACTCGTTGAGGAAATAGGGCTCTTTTAGGAAGGGCCTCTAAGCCAGAACAACTATACTTGGAGTCCCCAGCTCCTCCCTGTCTGACCCAACGGCAGTGGGGGGCACGCCACTCCGAAGAGTGCAGCGCCGCTCGTACCACTCACGGATCCGCTCGCGAGAGGGGAGCTCCCTAACGGGAGAAGAAGTACTAGTACCAGTCCCAGCAGTACGTCCGGCACGAGTGGAACCTCTCCGGAGGCTGCAGTACTCTAAGTACCACGTACGCAGCTGCTCCGAGGAGAGGGCTCCTCCAGGAGTAGGACTCACAGGGCCAGTACCTCCAGACCCAGAACCCCCAGACTCCGGACTCTGCGGCTCAGCACCACGAGGCTCCACACCCCCAGGCTCCACACCCCCAGGCTCCACACCCCCAGGCTCCACACCCCCAGGCTCAGCACCCCCAGGCTCCACACCCCCAGGCTCCACACCCCCAGGCTCAGCACCCCCAGGCTCCACACCCCCAGGCTCAGCACCCCTAGCAGGACGAGAGTCGACAGCTACCTCAACAGGCTCAACCGGGTCTACCTGAGACACACCTGAGGGAGCGGCACCCTGAGGGGGGAGGGGGTCTGCAACAGCAGCACCTGGCGCGAGGAAGAGAGGCGGGGGGGGAAGCGGGGCAGTGTGGTAGGGGAAGAGGCGGTAGTAGGGGACGGACTCGTCAAAAGTGACGTCCTGGGAGGGCAAGACTCGGCGCGAGGTGGCGTGGTAAAACTGCCAACCAGACGCGTCCGGGACAAAGCCGAGGAAGACGCAGGGAACAGCACGGGAGGAGAGCTTGTCCGCAGACGAATCGCGGACAAAAGCTCGAGACCCCCAGACCCGGAAACGCGACGCATCGCCAACCTCCCCCGTCCACAGCAGCGTGGGCGAGGTCTCCGGCAAGGAGACACGGGGCCAGAGGTTGAGCTGATGCGCAGCGTACCGGACCGCAAACGGCCTCAGAAAGTGGGGGGCAGCCGCATGGATCAAGGAGGTACGGGCGACCTCCATGACCAGGCCAATGCGGCGCTCCGCAACCCCATTCTGCTGTGGAGAGGCCGGAAGCGTGAACGACTGCTCAATGCTGTGCTCAGCACAGTAGGCTGCCAAGAGGTCGGAGGAGAACTCACCACCTCTGTCAGAGTGCAAGCGCAGGACAGGAAAGTCCGAGTGAAAACGTTCGCTGAGCTGGAGACGGGCTCTGCGGATCCAAGGGATCAAGACATCAGGGACCTCACCCTTGGTGCGCAAGGGGAAGACCGAGGTGTAGCGCGAGTAGTCGTCAACAACTATCAGGAAGTACCTCTCCTGACCCTGACCACGGACGCGGGCTGGGCCCCACACGTCCATGTGGAGTGTCTGCAAGGGAGCAGTCGTCGGGGGGAACGAGGAGGAGTGAGGAGCGGCGCGCTGCCGTCCCTCGACACAGAGGAGACAGGTAGGAGCAGGCGAGGGTGGGAGGGTAGGAAGGACCCTGGGCAGGCCAGAGACAAGGTACCGGGAGTGCATGGCACGAAGCCGCTGCACAGACGGGTGGCCAAGGCGGTGGTGCCAGAGGACAGTCTCGTGTGCCAAAGAGCGGCACGAGCAGGGGGCGGACAGCTGACCTGACGCGGACGCGGACGCAGTCGCAGCAACCTGAGTGGACGCAGTAGTCTGTGTGTACAGGTCCGGCCCCGGCTGCCGAGTGAAGGTAGCCAAGTGACGGCCCGTACGAGCACACGTGCAGTGTGTCACGCGCTCGTAGGCAGGGGTGAACTGGTGAACACCCCCGTCCTGGAGAGCACATCCTGCCACCAAGTTTGTAGAGAACGAGGGGAGGTGGAGACCTGACAGTGTGCCCGACGGGACCGCAGGTCAGGGAAGGACAGTGGAAGAGGTCGCAATGACCAGACCCCCAGAGGGGTCAGCAAGCGAGACAACAACTGGCTGAGCAAGCGGCTCAAGGGCAGTGCGGTCACGGAAGAAGCAGCGAGAAGCACCTGAGTCCAGTGTGAAGGTGTGCAGTGCGGCAGTCGACGCAGTACCAGGGGGGGGGGGGGGGACACACGAGCACCTAGAGCAGCAGCCTCACCAGCACCTGGGGTAGGCGACACGCGAGTACCTGGAGCGGCAGACACACTGGCCCTAATGCCCGGGTTGGGCGGCACACACAAGTACTCGGCACCCTCTCCACTAGTAGACATCACATACATGGCAGATAGAATAGCATCAAAGTCTAGAGCATAGATATCAATCCCCTTCTTCAGGAGATCAAGCCAGCGGGGCAGCTCAATGGCCTGAGGGAACTGAACACGCCAAGCGTCGTCAAGACGAGAGAAGCAGCGCTGTGTGGCGTGCGGTCGTCCACACTACTGACCAGTGCGGTCACCTGTGCGAATGACGTACGTGCAGCTAAGACCACCCCCACCCCCGTGCTGAGAGTACCACTCACGGACCTCTTGGGGCGAGGGAGTGTGCTGCTGGCCCTGGCCACCGCCAGTGCCTCCACGGCCACCACCACCGCTGCCACCTCCTCGACCACCCCAACCCCTTCCGCCGCCTCGTCCACCGCCACCCCAACCGCCGCCTCCACTCCTGCCACCTCCCCCGCCGCCGCCGCCACCACCCCCACCGCTACCACTCGTCCCTCCAGCCGAGCCACCACCCCCACTGCCTCCACCGCCCCCACCGCCGCCTCCCCCGCCGTCACTGCTACCACCCTTGCCCCCCTTGCCCTTGCCGCTGCGGCGCCCGCTCGAGGCAGACGCAGCGCCGACCTTCTCAGCACCGAGAAGGTCGACAGCAGCAGCAGAGGCGTTAGAGGGAAGAAGGGGGGAAGGAGAACACCCCTCAAAGAACGGGGTACGGGGGTCGCCACGAGAGGCACCTACAGCGACTATGCTAGTCTCAGCTGCAAGTTGCTCCTTCTCGAGGAGGGCAATGGTGAGCTCAGTGGGGCAACGAGCTAGGAAGTGGTCCCTGACAGCACGCAGTGTGTCAAGGAGGCAGGTGACCAGGTGGTAGAGAGTGAGCCAGAGTGGAGGGGGGTGCGTGGTAAGGAACTCAGCAGGCATGGCGGCACGGGAGCGGGCCTCACTAGTGCGGAGGTGCGTGATGAGGTCAGCGACTGTGTGAAAGGAGGCCAGGTCGGGAAACAGGTAGGGGAGGGAGAGACGGCCTAGTGCGGCAGAGGCAGTTGAGGAGTAGCGAGCAACGACAGCTGTGTATTGTGCCTGTGCAGTCTTGTGTTGGCCAAAGTGCTCGCGTTCGTCTATCGGCAGGGAGTTGCGAATGGCGAAGCGAGCGTGGGCATCACGAGTCTGCCACTGTAAGCGAGCAGTGCTGTCAGTAGTAGCAGTAGGGGCAGTGACATGGCATAGGGCGTGATCGTACAGTGAGATGTCATCCTTGGCTGTGAGCTGTAGGTAGAGGTGCAGGTCATCGAGCCAGGTGTCAAACTTCACAGGGCGGCCCTCAGCATCAAACACGAGAACCTGTGGGCTCGCCATAGGAACAGTAGAATAGCACCAGCAGCAGTAGCAGTAGCAGTAAGAGAAGCAGGTAGGACGAACCAGGTAGGGCAGGGCGGCGCGGCTCGGTTCAGGTTGGGTCGCGGCTCGGCGGGTGGCGCGGCTCGGTTCAGGGCGCGGCTCGGTTCAGGGCGCGCGGTTCGGCTCGAGGCGCGCGGCTCGGGTCACGGCGGGGACGGGCCGCCCGGTCTCCCTCGTGTGCTGCGGCGGGAACGGGCCGCCCGGGGCCTCTAGGTGGTGGGCACGGGGCCGATCGGGGCCTGAGCGGGGCTAGCGCGGGGCCAAACGGGGCCTTGACGGG